GGGAAGCATGACCTGGTCATCAGGTTCCTGAGGGGAGTGAGGGGGCTAAATCCGCCTCCCTCCCCTCCTGCCCTCTGGGGACCTCTCAGTAGACCTGGGTGCTCTGCAGAGGCCTCCCCTGGAGCCTTTGCAGTCGGTAGAGTTTTTGCCCTGTCCTATGTGACAGCACTCCTGATTGCATTGGTATCCATCAGGAGAGTAAGGGACCTGCACGCACTCTCTGTTGACGAAGTGTGCCTGGAGTTCGGGCCGGCTTACTCTCACGTATTCCTGAGACCCCGGCCTGGATATATGCCCAAGGTTCCTACCACTCCCCTCCGGGACCTGGTGGTGAACCTGCAAGCGCTGCCCCTGGAGGAGGCAGACCCAGCCTTGGCACTGCTCTGTCCGGTACGTGCTCTCCGCACCTATGTCGACAGAACGCAGTGTTTCAGGACCTCAGACCAGCTCTTTGTCTGTCATGGGGGGAGCCAGAAGGGAAGGGCTCTCTCAAAGCAACGGCTGTCCCACTGGATAGTGGATGCCATTGCTTTGTCTTACCAGCAGCAAGGCCTTCCGTGCCCCCTTGGTGTGACGGCCCATTCCACTCGGAGTGTAGCCTCCTCTTGGGCTTTAGCGCACGGCGCCTCGCTAACAGACATCTGCAGAGCTGCAGGCTGGGCGACACCCAACACCTTCGCCAGATTCTATAATCTGCGAATTGAGCCGGTATCCTCTCACGTACTCGTTTCGGCCAGTTCTGGATCCGCTCAGGTGTCTTCGCTTGCTCGCCACTCCACTCCCCGGACTGGATAAGTGCGATATTTCCTCAGTTCTTCCATTGAAGTCTTGAGTCCTCCAGCACCGACGATGCGGGCACCACTGCGTTGCTCTGGATGCTAGCTAGGTGCCTCCATGCGCACGGTTCCCCATGGTAACCGTCTCATGTGTATTATCCACTGTAAGCCTCTCTGAGCATGTGTCTTCCCTTGGCAAGCCATCTGCCACCCCTGGAGTTTAAATCAGTAGCCACCTGCGGTTGGTACTCCAGTGTTCCATATGCGTTCCTATGTGGCCATATGTGTATTCTTAAGTCCTCCCTTCGGTAGGCAGCTGGTAGCATGTCCCCTTCGGGATATGTTTCCCAGTGTACCTTGGTAATCCTGTGTCAAAGTCGGATCCCCAAAAAAAAAAAAAAAAAAAAGAGGTAAGGCTCGGGGGTTCAGTCTTTCGCAGGGCACTGGAAGACAGCTTGAAGATGGCGTGATGGCACAGACCCCCAATCTCCGTCACTTCTGACGTAACTCGAAGTGACTACGATAGGGAACGTCTCGGTTACGTATGTAACCCTCGTTCCCTGAGTAGGGAACGGAGACGTTACGTCTCCCTGCCACTTCTGCTGTATCGCTGGGTAGAGGCCGAGTTCAGTCTTGGCTCCTCAGCGAAGACATACTGCGGTTGCGTTCACTTCCTCCTTTTATACTCACGGAGTAGGGCGGAGTACGCTATGCAAATTTCCGCAGCCCCAAGGCATTGCATGCCATTGGCTCGTGTTTTAATACTCGAAGAGGATTGGCTTTCTATGCGAAACCCCCAATCTCCGTCACTTCTGACGTAACGTCTCCGTTCCCTACTCAGGGAACGAGGGTTACATACGTAACCGAGACGTTTCGATA